GCCGAGCACTCCAGGTATTTTACAGCACCAGTCTCCTTAGCTATAGCTAGACCCTGCAGATAGGTGATGGGAGTCAGCTTCTTCTTCAGTTTCTCGATCGTGTCTTTATCATCCCTAAGTTCAAGTTCAGTTCCCACTAGGATGATGGGAGTGTTGGGACGGTGGTGCCGCACCTCAGGATACCACTTTGCACGGACATTTTCAAATGATGCAGGACTCACAAGGGAAAAGCAAATTAAGAACACATCTGTTTGAGGATAGGATACGGGGCATGATCTGTCATAATCTTCTTGAGCAGCTGTATCCCATAAGCCCAGATTCACTGGTTTTCTATCTACCATAACATTGGCAGAATAATTGTCAAAGACAGTAGGGATATATTCTCCAGGAAATGCATTGGTTGTGTAACTGATCAGTAGGCAAGTTTCACCTGCAGCTCCGTCTCCCACCACCACACCCCTGATGGCCTGCATCTGAGCCACTCGCTCAGCCGCGGGGGCAGCGGCAGGGCTCTGAGACCAGAAGCGGTGGGTACAAGGAATAAAAGTGTCAAAGGTAAAAACTCTAAAACATTAATTTCTATCAAATGCAGTGGATGATGAAAGAAAGGTTGGTATTATCAGGAAGTGTTTTCTTAAGCTTTTCCTTTTTCTTACACCAGTCATCCCTCCCCAAACTGGGCATTTAATTCATCTTTAAACTGGTTGTTCTCTTAGTGTCTAACTTAGTAAGTGCTTTTCTTATAGAACCTCTTCTTACTGAGCAATATGCCTTCTTGTATTATAAAATATTTCTCGTAATGCATTAGAAGGTTTTTTTTGTAGATTAGTAAAAGTGCTTTCCATGTTACTTTATTCAAAGCTATTAAGTGCTTTCCTTAGTTTTCTAGTAACTAGGTGTAAAAATCATGTGTTGCAGTTTTATGGTTTTTAAAATATGTTAGATATTTCTTAAACTATGAGCCTTCTTAACATCACTGACTTGTCAGATTACCCACACTGTCACTTGACCAATACCAACCCTCTTTACCTCACCCATGTGGACACATGCCTCCTGTAGTTACTTAGTCTAATGATGTTCCTTTGGGTCTGTGAGGTTCTGTAAACTGTGCTGGTGTTGACGATCTTCTGTACAACTTAACTCACTGGCAAGAATACAACGTTGGACCTTTCAACCACTAGAACAAAAATTTTTAAATTGACAGTTGCAGAATTGTGGAGTGTTTTTACATTGATCTTTTGCTAATACAATTAGCAGTATGTTTTGCATGTATGACTAATAAATCCTTGAATCATTAAAAAAACTGCTACTCAAATATTTTGAGCTGCTTTGTGAAGAAATGTCCAACTTAAGGTAGAATGTTAATATCAAAAAATACTAAAAAAGTAGAAGAGTTATTGATTACGAAAAAATACAGTAAGTTCCTTCAAAGAAAGAGTATTGAAGCACAATGTTCAACCCTTAACAAATATGCTTTTTAAATTTAAGTTCAGGAGGGTGTGTGTGTGTGTGTGTGTGTGTGTGTGTGTGCGCGTGCGCACAAGTGCCTGTGCACACACTGTCTTATTTCATTTAAGTGTGATATTCAAAACATTTAGTAACTGGAAGGGCACAGATACCAACCAAGTTAAATAGAGCCCCCTCTTGTAACAGGGTCTCTAGAGGGCCTTGCTTTGCTAGGTGTTACCAATTTAATGGTGGAATGAAGAACAGAGAAGGGTTGGGGGTCCTATGGGGGATGTCTGAGCTGGTTGAGCTGGAATGGTTGGGTCAGCAAGGAGCTACTCAAGGAGTTGGAGCAGCAGCTCTTTATAATTACTGAAATATTTTCACCACCAGTAGGGAAACAGTAGTGTGTACCAACCAGACATTATCAGCTGAGGCTACTGAAAAATAACATAATATACACAAACTAATATGGATACTAGAAAACAGCATTTTAAGCATATTTTATATTGGGAACTTTGATCAAACAGATACCAACAAATTAAAGCGTATTATTACGATGATGCAATTCTAACTTCATATTTGCCCATTTTTCTACCTGCCACCAGCTTACCCTCTCCATACACAAACTAACGGGCCTTCTCAGATATATTTAGGACAGTTGACTAAGGACATCAAGAGCTGAGAATCAAAATTTGAACTCAAGGCCTCCCAACTTGTGGTGAAA